ATAATTTCTCAATAAATTCTTGGCGATAATTAGAACTTTTTTATATCCCGTCTTATATTGGGATATATTCAGCTCTGATCAGAAGATTCTGACACACCGAAAACAGCAGTTACAAACTGGGTCAACCAGAGATCAGGTTATAAGGTCTCTGAAGTACACGCTAGCTATCGTTATGGAACCATGTTTGACACACTACACTGATGGCCCCATGGAATCCATGGCCAAACACAGGCAGCTTAGAATTCGTTTAAAAGGCGAAATATGGTGCTCAAATATGAACATTGAACACTGTTACTATCATGGCTGGGTGTCTGTCCGACACAATATAGGCGGAGAACGAGGATAGGCATCGCGCTGATGCCAGTACTGTGAGTGTGAATTCTACAAGAAAGGAAAACCATCTTCAGTCAATTCTTCCCATATGGTATATGTTGTCAGAGTAGGGTGTGTGTTATCTCAGCTTTGAGCAGGGATAAGTGGGTCAAGTGATCATTGCACTTTCCACCCACGCACTAAGAGTTGACACTGACAAAGGGTATACTGGCAGAGATATACCGCATTTTCTCTATTAGATAACGCCCTATATTTCACTCTTGTGTGATTCTGTGCTGAGGGAGAATCACTCCATAGTGATCCGGTCCTACAACTGATACACCCAAGAGTCACATTATCCTAGGATCAAAGTACTCCCCTCTCGTGATCAAAGAACTCCCTGATGGCACTTTTTTCCCCTAAGCTTTGCAGCATGAGTGCAGAGATACAAGTTTTCCATTGTCTCCTGCCCACTGGTTGACAACAGTGAAACAATCTTCACACGTGCCTTCCATCTAAGCAGAAAGACACAACTTTAACTCAGGTCATACACATTACTTACTAACATTGCCCAGTGATGCCCCTGCAGTGTTTCACGATGTTCATATGAAGGATTGGTGTTTGTCCTTCGAGCTCAGACATCCTGAGAGAAGAGCCTCTCAACGTGTAAAGGAGATGAATAATTTTGACGGTAGGAAAAGAGGAACAACGCCCGTCATCTGACCAAGTGGAGTGAGTTTAGTTTAACGCCTCTTTTAGCAATAATCCAGCAATATCACGACGGGGGACACTGGTCTTATACCCATGTGCGTGAACTCGGGTCTTCGGCGTGACCACCTGGCTACCCCGCCGCCCCGTGACCAAGTGAAAGAAGTAGGGGTTGACTTCATCGCTGAGATGTCAGAACAACTTGTCAAGTACATGGATTATATAGAATGCACCCTGGGACAGACCGACACTACATTTGGGATAACACTATCTCAGTAAATTACATTTGACCACTTTCTAAATGGTATTGTGTATTCATAGGTTATGACCGAGCACCATAACTATTTCCATAAGCTAAAACTGGGGAAATATACAATGTCCTGTGGAAGTATCCTCATTTAACCCTAATCACGCTCGTCAGTAAACACACTCATAGACATACCCGTGAAGGTCCGGGTTAGAATGAACCTTCAGTACCCTATGCTTGTTGTAATAGTCGACTAACAGGATCGGGTGGTCAGGCTCGCTGGCTTGGTTGACACATGTCATCGGTTCCCAGTTGCGTAGATCGATTCTTATGCTTTTGATCACTGGATTGTCTGGTCCAGACTCGATTATTTACAGACCGCTGAATATTGCTGAGTGCTCACTCACTCACTCACAAATGTAGAAACATAAGGACACAGAGACACATTGTCGTGCACACACAAACATACGCACATATAAACACATGTAGAGACACACGCACATACAGACGGACACACGCACATACAGACGCACATACCAGTGGCTAGTTCCTGGGAGCAGAATAGTTTACAACAGAGGTCAGTTTGTGGGGATTATCGCCAAGGATCAGTGCATGGTTACTAACAACAGGCTGTCGATGTGATTACAAGTACACGCGCACTGACACTTATACACACATATATAAAGCCACAGACGCACACACACACCCTCATACAGACACACACACACACACGACATACAGACACAACCACACACATACACACAGACATACAGCCAAGCCACTCATACACAGAAACTCATACACACTCATACAGATTATGCAAAGATTCAACATGGATTCAGCTTTGGAATATATACTGTTTCACGTAGGCATCATGATCTTAAGTTTGGTCTATCGGTGGGTTTATATAAAACACACACAAAAATATTTTTAAAGTCTCTATCATATCATATACATTATTTCTACTTTATTTCATCATATCATACACATCATTTTTACTTTATCATTGCATCATATCATATTATAAACGTTATTTCTAAATTATTGCATCATATCATATACATTATTTCTACTTTATTTCATCACATCATATACATTATTTCTACTTTAATTCATCATATCATATACATCATTTTTACTTTATTTCATCACATCATATACATTATTTCTACTTTATTTCATCATATCATATACATCATTTCTACTTTATTTCATAACATCATATACATTATTTTTACTTTATTTCATCTCATCATATACATTATTTTTACTTTAATTCATCATATCATATGCATCATTTTTACTTTATTTCATCACATCATATACATTATTTCTACTTTATTTCATCATATCATATACATTATTTCTACTTTATTTCATAACATCATATACATTATTTTTACTTTATTTCATCATATCATATACATTATATTTACTTTATTACATCACATCATATACATTATTTCTACTTTATTTCATCTTATCATATACATTATTTCTACTCTAATTCATGATATCATATACATCATTTTTACTTCAATTCATCATATCATATAACTTATTTCTACTTTAATTCATCATATCATATACATCATTTTTACTTTAATTCATCACATCATATACATATTTTCTACTTTAATTCATCTAATCATATAAATCATTTTTACTTTATTTCATCACATCATATACATTATTTCTATTCTATTTCATCACATCATATACATTATTTCTACTTTATTTCATCATATCATATACATCATTTTTACTTTATTTCATCACATCATAAACATTATTTCTATTCTTTTTCATCACATCATATACATTATTTTTACTTTATTTCATCATATCATATACATCATTTTTACTTTATTTCATCACATCATATACATTATTTCTACTCTAATTCATGATATCATATACATCATTTTTACTTTATTTCATCATATCATATACATCATTTCTATTCTATTTCATCACATCATATACATTATTTCTACTTTATTTCATCATATCATATACATCATTTTTACTTTATTTCATCACATCATAAACATTATTTCTATTCTTTTTCATCACATCATATACATTATTTCTACTTTATTTCATCATATCATATACATCATTTCTACTTTATTTCATCACATCATATACATTATTTCTACTTTATTTTTCATCACATCATATACATTATTTCTACTTTATTTCATCACATCATATACATTATTTCTATTCTATTTCATCACATCATATACATTATTTCTACTTTATTTCATCATATCATATACATCATTTTTACTTTATTTCATCACATCATAAACATTATTTCTATTCTTTTTCATCACATCATATACATTATTTTTACTTTATTTCATCATATCATATACATCATTTTTACTTTATTTCATCACATCATATACATTATTTCTACTCTAATTCATGATATCATATACATCATTTTTACTTTATTTCATCATATCATATACATCATTTCTATTTTATTTCATCACATCATATACATTATTTCTACTTTATTTCATCATATCATATACATCATTTCTACTTTATTTCATCACATCATATACATTATTTCTATTTTTTTCATCATATCATATACATTATTTCTACTTTATTTCATCATATCATATACATCATTTCTACTTTATTTCATCACATCATAAACATTATTTCTACTTTATTTCATCACATCATATACATTATTTCTACTTTATTTCATCATATCATATACATCATTTCTACTTTATTTCATCACATCATATACATTATTTCTACTTTATTTACATCACATCATATACATTATTTCTACTTTATTTCATCATATCATATACATCATTTCTACTTTATTTCATCACATCATAAACATTATTTCTATTCTTTTTCATCACATCATATACATTATTTCTACTCTATTTCATCACATCATATACATTATTTCTACTTTATTTCATCATATCATATACATCATTTCTATTTACATTATTTCATCATATCATATTCATCATTTTTACTTTATTTCATCATATCATATACATCATTTTTACTTTATTTCATCATATCATATACGGTATTTCTACTTTCTACTTTATTTTGTCTGTCATGTAGTGGCTGTGGGATATCTGCATCTGTAGTGAGTAAGTTTCGTTTTCTGCCGCTCTAGCAATATTCCTGCAATATCACGGCGCGGGACACCGATAATGGGCTTGACACATTGTACCCATGTGGGGAAACGAGCCCAGATCTTCAGTGTGACGAGTGGACGGTTTAACCATTAGGCTACCCCACCGCCCCTCTGCATCTGGAAAAGACTAAAGTCGATATATATATATATAAGAAAACTAATTTATTCTGTTTTATTGGTATTCAGCGAATATATATTTGTTGTCACCTACTGCACTGTAATCCAACGCAGCAGAGAACATGAGAACATTGAATAAGATGTCACTGTCATAAAGTTGGCTACCTAGGTCTTTAAGAGGTTTCTTTATTCTTTAATATATGAATTATATAATGGAATGTAAAGAAAGAACAATGTTGATACCAAGCGCATAGCATTTTGGGGAATTTTACTTGTCCTCTACCTGCAGCTTTCACACCAGCACTGGCACCGGAAAGAAGCCAAATTACAGTCAGTGGTCGATGGGAAACACAGAAAAAATACGTGTTGCATTTATCTTATCGTGTAGAAATAGAGCTGGGATTGGTCGTCTTTATGTGTCACACGTCTTTCGTCAACTCTCAAGGTAGGTTCTGTTATATTCATTGTACCAGTTATATCCAAGAAAACGTTGTGATTATTCATTATTACCACCTTAAAACCTGTTATTTTACATGGAAATGATCCAGCCTGAAAATACCTTGAAATCGATTACTCTATATAACGATTACCACAAATCATTTATATGTATGTTTATATGTTACGTTACATGTCATCTGGCTGTTGTTGAATCCTCAGTAACACCCTTATCTCTTATACTCACATGTATTCTACAGTCATATCTGACTTAGGTAAAGGCTACATTTAAGGTATTGTGAGACAACAATGAAGATCGTGTGCTGTCTGGTTGTGTTGGGCCTGGCTGTGGTCAGCGCGGACCTGCTGAGTATCCTCAAGAAGATCCACAGCTCGGACGCATTCCAACACATGCCTCACTATGAGCAACTGCTGCTGGTGGAGCTGATTGCCGAGGCAGAGATGGGACAGGTGACCAAATACATCAACACCGTGGGCATGGACAGGATCTCCAAGATGGTGCAACGTAAGTCCCCAGTACGCTGCCCCTCCCCGGAAACATGAGGGGTAACACGTAGGGGTGAGGACATTGGACAGGCTCATGGACGCAGCTGGTAGCCCCTTACGGGAACTCAGCTCTTGTTTGGAACTCTGTATGAAAATGTTTACCAAGCACGCCACTGATACAAGTGAGTGAGTATGCTTTTACGCCGCGTTTAACAATATTCCAGCAATATCATTGCGGGGGACACCGGAAATGGGCTTCACCCTTTTTGCCCATGTGCGAAATCGAACCCGGGACTTCGGCGTGTTGAGCGAACGCAATAACCACTAGTCTACCCAACCGCCATCACTGATACGAGGAATTAATCTAATTATTATTTCTATGATATAACGGGGACTGTACTATTTATCATTTACTTTCAGATCTACCCCAACACGATGCTGACCTCTTTACCAAGTACCTGAAAGACGTAAGTCCTCCACTCACTCACCACATATGCAGGACATTAATGATTACCCGAAACACAAACACACGACTCCGGGAAGTTTTTTGTGTATTTCTTATAAATACAGGGTATTGGAGAGAGCGGTGCAGTTGACGCCAAAACGTGTAGTAATATGTGAAGAGAATTCCAAATTATTTCATTCAATTGGTTCAGCTCAACCCATATTTGTCGTAAGAGGCGAGTAACGGAATCGGTCGTCACTCTCGCTGACATGGTTGACGTGCGTCATTGTATCCCAATACCATAAATTCGATGCTAATGGCGTCAATCACTGAGTTTCCTCCTCCATATTTAACAAAGTATGAACCGCTGTCGTAGAGTTGTAACAGTTCTTAGCGCTGTGAAACTTCAAACAACCAAACGACCAATAGCTTACAGTCAGGTGAAGCCCGATGTGATGCAGTGCACTACTCTTTGGGGAGACCAAACAGCACGAACATGGTGCTTACAGACCAATAACCCCGCCTACTCTCCGTGCTGATGCAGGCACAGATGCCGGTTATAAGTGTACAGATTCCTCCATATGGCTAAACCGGTAACGACGCAATGTAAATTTGACCTAACAATTGTGCACACCGACCAGCTACAATGGTAACCGACTCTATTCTGTTTCCAGCACATGACGGCAGAAGCTCAACCAGGAACAAGCCAGTCACACTAAAACTTCCTTCAGAAATAAACATTCTATTGTAAATAGTGTCTATCTGCTTCTCCTATTTTTCCTCTATCGTTTGATCAAAATAGACGACTGTTGAAAGTATGCTTGGAAACCACGAAACCGTTACCACGCTAACGACTGATTTTCACTAATGAATGTTATGACGCATTGGGACGCCATGACACGTTCCGGCGTCCATCAGGTCCACGGCAGAATGGGTCAAGGTGATGGATATCAAAAATGCAAAAATCATTCTGGTCCTTGTCAGTTCAATGTAAGCATTGACACTGAGTCATAACTAGCATCTGATGGTTAAAGTCGGTATATCACATGTCTGGATAGAAATCCTGGGATTAGCTGCATCACCACTAGTATCTGATGGTTAGACCAGCTGCATCACCACTAGTATCTGATGGTTAGACCAGCTGCATCACCAGTAGTATCTCATGGTTAGACCAGCTGCATCACCACTACTATCTGATGGTTAGACCAGCTACATCACCACTAGTATCCGATGGTTAGACCAGCTGCATCACCAGTAGTATCTCATGGTTAGACCAGCTGCATCACCACTAGTATCTGATGGTTAGACCAGCTACATCACCACTAGTATCTGATGGTTAGACCAACTGCATCGGCACTAACATCTGATGGTTAGACAACTACATCACCACTACTATCTGATGGTTAGACCAGCCACATCACCACTAGTATCTGATGGTTAGACCAGCGGCATCACCACTAGTATCTGATGGTTAGACCAGCTGCATCACCAGTAGTATCTCATGGTTAGACCAGCTACATCACCAGTAGTATCTCATGGTTAGACCAGCTGCATCACCACTTGTATCTGATGGTTAGACCAGCTACATCACCACTTGTATCTGATGGTTAGACCAGCTACATCACCACAAGTATCTGATGGTTAGACCAGCTACATCACCACTAATATATCTGATGGTTAATCCATCTACATCACCACTAGTATCTGATGGTTAGACCAGCTACATCACCACAAGTATCTGATGGTTAGACCAGCTACATCACCACTAATATATCTGATGGTTAGACCAGCTACATCACCACTAGTATCTGATGGTTAGACCAGCTACATCACCACTAGTATCTGATGGTTAGACAGCTACATCACCACTAATATATCTGATGGTTACACCATCTACATCACCACTTGTATCTGATGGTTACACCAGCTACATCACCACTTGTATCTGATGGTTAGACCAGCTACATCACCACTAGTATCTGATGGTTAGACCAGCTACATCACCACTACTATCTGATGGTTAGACCAGCTACATCACCACTACTATCTGATGGTTAGACCAGCTGCATCACCACTAATATCTGATGGTTAGACCAGCTACATCACCACTAGTATCTGATGGTTAGACAGCTACATCACCACTAATATATCTGATGGTTAGACCAGCTACATCACCACTAGTATCTGATGGTTAGACCAGCTACATCACCACTAGTATCTGATGGTTAGACAGCTACATCACCACTAATATATCTGATGGTTAGACCAGCTACATCACCACTAGTATCTGATGGTTAGACCAGCTACATCACCACTACTATCTGATGGTTAGACCAGCTACATCACCACTAATATCTGATGGTTAGACCAGCTACATCACCACTAACATCTGATGGTTAGACCAGCTACATCACCACTAATATCTGATGGTTAGACAGCTACATCACCACTAGTATATCTGATGGTTAGACCAGCTACATCACCACTACTATCTGATGGTTAGACCACCTACATCACCACTAATATATCTGATGGTTAGACCAGCTACATCACCACTAGTATCTGATGGTTAGACCAGCTACATCACCACTAGTATCTGATGGTTAGACCAGCTACATCACCACTAGTATCTGATGGTTAGACCAGCTACATCACCACTACTATCTGATGGTTAGACCAGCTACATCACCACTAATATCAGATGGTTAGACCAGCTACATCACCACTAGTATCTGATGGTTAGACCAGCCACATCACCACTACTATCTGATGGTTAGACCACCAAATCACCACTAATATATCTGATGGTTAGACCAGCTACATCACCACAAGTATCTGATGGTTAGACAGCTACATCACCACTAATATATGTGATGGTTAGACCATCTACATCACCACTTGTATCTGATGGTTACACCAGCTACATCACCACACCTATCAGATGGTTAGACCAGCTACATCACCACTAGTATCTGATGGTTAGACCAGCTGCCTCACCACTAGTATCTGATGGTTAGACCAGCTGCATCACCACTAACATCTGATGGTTAGAGCAGCTGCATCACCACTAACATCTGATGGTCAGACCAGCTGCATCACCGATAACATCTGATGGTTTGACCAGCTACATCACCAATAGTATCTGATGGTTAGACCAGCTGCATCAGCTCTACTATCTGATGGTTAGACCAGCTGCATCACCACATGTATCTGATGGTTAGACCAGCTGCATCACCACTAGTATCTGATGGTTAGACCAGCTACATCACCATTAGTATCTGATGGTTAGACAGCTGCATCACCACTGGTATCTGATGGTTAGACCAACTACATCACCACTAATATCTGATGGTTAGACCAGCTACATCACCACTAGTATCTGATGGTTAAACAGCTGCATCACCACTGGTATCTGATGGTTAGACCAGCTACATCACCACTAATATCTGATGGTTAGACCAGCTACATCACCACTACTATCTGATGGTTAGACAGCTGCATCACCACTGGTATCTGATGGTTAGACCAGCTACATCACCACTAGTGTATGATGGTTAGACCAGCTACATCACCACTAGTGTCTGATGGTTAGATCAGCGACATCACCACTACTATCTGATGGTTAGTCCAGCTGCATCACCACTACTATGTGATGGTTAGACCAGCTACATCACCACTAGTATCTGATGGTTAGACCAGCGGCATCACCACTAGTATCTGATGGTTAGACCAGCTACATCACCACTAGTATCTGATGGTTAGACCAGCTACATCACCACTAGAGTGTAATGGTTAGACCAGCTATATCACCCCTAGTATCTGGTGGTTAGACAGCTACATCACCACAACTATCTGATTGTTAGACCAGCTACATTACCACTACTATCTGATGGTTAGACTATCTACATCACCACTAGAGTGTAATGGTTAGACCAGTTACATCACCACTAGTATCTGATGGTTAGACAGCTACATCACCACTAGTATCTGATGGCTAGACCAGCTACATCACCACAACTATCTGATGTTAGATGTCTGCATTGAACATAGTAGTAATACAAATCTATGGCATGCAGCAGGGACGACATTCCTGCACCATGCTGGCACGACATGATCTTAAGTAATACATATTGTTCAACGCGGTGTTAATCACCACCCACTCATTCACTCGAGAAATGACCTCTGTAGGATCATGCTACAGTGAAAAATAAACTCGTCAATCTCTTATTTTACAAAAGTATGCTCATATAAAAGTCATCTCTTAGTTCATTAGCCTGTTTTGCCGGCGGTTTAGTCCATTGAAAAGATATATAATCGTCTAGTGTATTAAATTTAAAGCGAAATATCGTGTATCACAGACATACCTCAGGCTGTGGAATAGCACGACTCATATGTATTTACCTGCTTCAGAATGAACCTTTCAAATTTTTTTACAGAACTTAAGTGACGGGCTCAATATCAGGAGTATTTTAACACCTCAAACATCTCAGCCGAAACACAAGTTACAGGTGAATCAAATAATTGACAGGATCTCGATTACACAGAATAAACTAGAATACACGGCACTGAGGCCTTCAGACCTTTACCCGCCTGTCGTAATACAGAAACGTCAACCTTTATACGTAAACGTATTTCATTCTAGCACTTTATCATTTACAAACCCATTTTCCGGATTACGTAAGATATCTTTTTGACGAGTAAAAAGTACTTTATGTTCACCAATATTCATATTTAGCCCCTTTGCAGACAATAGCCACAGCGACAGTCCAGCTATCTTTGAAGGCTACTTAATTATGCTTTCTGAAAATGTAATCATTTTATCTGCAAACAGATTCATACCTAAGTTAACAATATCAGTACAGAAATCAGCATTTCGTTTTTGTTGCATAATTTCAAGGAAATAGCAAGGGGGATAAGACTTCCCCTTCTTGTATATCAGCACCTATTGATCTGACAAAGAGGAATTGAATCTTCCACATGCAATGTACGTTATGATTGAATAATATACCACAATTTCCCACTCGCTGCTGGTATCACACCTCCGTTTGGTAAGGAGGAACTTGGTTCAAGAACAGCTCGGAAACTATCTACCCACTGACACTCTTACTTTCATTGCACAACAAGTCGATTAAACATATTGTTGCTTTAAGACTGAAGGATTATTTGTTCATAAAAGACCTTAATGGAGACTTTCAATCTGCATATCGCAACTTACTCTGTACTGTATCTGCTTTGTTAAATGCTGAGACCGATCTTCTCAGCTGTAGACCAGTATGGAGCTGCTATAAAAAAAATTTACTCGACCTTATGCATTTGATACCATTGATCACACAACCCTGTCATCAACTGTAGAAAACTACACTCACACAAATGGAGCTGCTTTAAAATGGTGATATCCTACGTCTGAGGCAGACAACAGTCAGCCAACACAGATGGTCGCATGTCATGCTCCAATGAATTAGCATACTGAGTTCCTCACTGGTCCGTTCTTGGAGCTCTGCTAGTCACCATTTATACATGTCCTCTGAGTGTCATTGTTCGGTCATACAATCTCGGACTCCACTGTACGCCGATGACACGCAGATGTACATGACCTTCAAACCATTCGATACATCAGTGACCTTCTATCTCCTTTGCGACTGAACTTTGTTTCCAGCATAAGAAGTTCCATGACACGTCATATTCATAGCGTTGTTGACCACTCCCTGTCATCAGACATACAAAAACTCTCCGGCACGCAGACAGAAATACG